CTGACCACCACATGAACTTTGTTTAGTTCGGAAGCCCATATGATCGGTGTTTTCATTAATTTCTTTATAAAGCAATGGAGGCTGAATCTTTGGGAAAATAATCTAAATAAACAGTCGAGAGTTTATGTACGTGGGTGATTTGCCCTCAGAGTTGACTTTCATCGAAACTAATTGACTGAGGCACATTCAGTTTCAGTCTGGCTACCTATGATTTTATTCTTTTTTTGCTCAGATTAGTTTAATTCGCACGAAAGAGAGAAGGAGAGCGAGAGAAAAGAGAAAGTTGCTTTATTTTTAGACACATTTTTCCAAATCCGTAGAAAACACGGCTCCCAGTTACCACAAGTAAACCACAACGGAGTAAATCCTTCCAAAATATAGACATGCAGATCTGCTGTGATGGTAAGGCAAGCCTTATTTTCTGACTTTCAGTATCATTAAATGTCAGAAATCACGTCGAAGGGAGTATTACTAACCGCTAATACGCAGGTGTGCAGCACCAGGTTTGACAAAAGCCACACCGCACTTGACGTAATGGTCTTCCAGCAACAAAGACAGTCTAAAGGGATATGCACCCTCACCGATAATTCGATTAAAAACTGTTGTAACTATTGTAAAACGTCTAGCCATAATATGGGCTATATAGAAACAAGAGGTCCTAAGTTATAGAGGCAGTTGGAGAATGCGTCTGTAAATGGTTATGAACTTCTTTAGTAAACCAATAATAACAAAATAGTAGGGCATAAGAGGGATATTGCAGGCACCTAGTAGTCGTCAGATTGGCGACTGCGATAACTGTAAATCTGAACTTCGTTGCAAAGTTTATCCGAGAATATATGGTTAGGACTTGCTTTCTGTTCGTAAAACAAAGCACCCTATTCTCATGACAGGGTGGGGACATAACCGAGACTCCTTTTGAAAATTTGAACTCAAAATTTCATTTTTGGCAGGGTGGTCTGCGTAAAGTTCGCTATCGCACTGAGCATGCAAATGACCGATTCTCCACTGGTGGTCTTGATTATACGGCGAAAAAAGTTAGAGGAGGGGTGATAGAGTTGTACCTTAAAACCTCGCACAATTAATGAGGAGAACGCCTTTAATATTGCCAGACTAGACAAATTGCATTAGAGAGAAGAAATAGTCTGCAAGGCAAGACAAAATGGTGTCTGATGAGTAGCAGTGGGATGTCTTGTTAAGGACAGGATGTACCCTGAATTAAAGGAATTTATCAATTCATGCACACGCACTTGTCCACTCACGAAGATTCTTGCTTAGAGGTGAAATCAGAGCGGGCCGTCAGATCATCAATTTCTGCACCTACCTTTACATGCAATTATCTGGGTTAGGTAAGTGGAAAACCAATTGCGGCGTAGTTTTTAGAGCACTCGTTCAGTGTGTTTTGTATTAGCGAAAGGACAGACAATTATACGTAAGAATTGAGAACTAAGGGACAAGTGATAGTGAATAACAGCTGAGCAGCACATGACATGATGCGTTGTGGGATATCTTAAGGTTCCTAATCTTTTGAATCACAGACTTTTTAGAAATGCATCTTAGCCACTCCCAAACACACCGATGGCAATGATGATGATGATAAGTCTCATGCTAACACTACTCTGACCCTCACTGACGAACATTCACCCCTGCCTTCTGCCCCTCGTTGACGAACGTTCACCCCTGCCTTCTGACAAACGTTCACTAACTGTTTATATTACTCTGACCATTCTTTATCCTTTTCAGTTCTTATAACCAATTGTAAGATAAATGAAGTCCGACTGTAGGGTACTCGTTTATTCCGTCCCTTCGTCTGTGTCTCCTGCCTACTGAATTTTGCGACTCTATCTATTCTGATCACGACAATAAGTCTTTTGGAAGGAAGTAAAATTAACTGGTAGTAAAGCTGCAATGCCAGTTTATCATGGTGAATTATTACAGCACCTTAATTTTAAAGTGTGTAAAATTATGGCTTTTAAGGATACGCTTACAAAAATCGATCTTCACACCAGTTTCCCGGTTTTTAAGCAAAACATTTCCATACTACACTTAAAGTACAGGACTAGAGTCGAATAGAATTTAGTTTCATTTACGAAACTTATTGGCAGGGCCTGTCAATTCAGGCCTTTTAAAGTTGCAATATGTACTATATTTTTAAACGCAAATTACATGCGGTTGACCTTATAATAACGGCAACGCATAGTACGTAGTGCTGTCCATAGTACATTATGAAGTATACTAATGTAATGTAATAGGACATCCCTTATGAGGCACAGATGTCTTATGAAAATCTAGGAAAAGCTTACCGTAGAGATACGCTAGTGCTGAAAACTGACAAGCTCTTCACAATTTCATAATTGAGTGGTGATCCCTCAGACCATCAAAATGTACTTTTTTGTAAAAAGAAATTGGGGGTATGGGAGAGGGAAGGAAAAAATAAGAATTCCTTGCTAGAAACGTGAAGATTGGAAAGTTGCAGTCGGAGATCTGAGAGTATGCGATCTAAGTTCACTAGAAGTCAAGGGCTTGGTAAAGGGTTTGTCCCATTAGGTGATTGGGGCAGGCACTTCCTCTAGCTTAAAATAGTGGTATTTAGGTACGTTTCTTAGGCTTACATCTTTTTCCAAAGCAGACTCTCATATCCTGTTTTCCTGCACAATCTAGGTGTTTAATTCGTAATTCTGCGCGAGTTTAGACCCTATTGGCGTGTTAACCGTTGGTTAGCAGGATGTCAAATGTTTCAACGACTTGCCAATCAACGGACAGTTCGCTTGAGGCTGCTCCTTCTCTTAAATCCCTCACAGGCCGTTTTTCCGACGAACAATCATCCAATCGCTCCAGCAATCCAACGCTTTCAGACATTCCCGTCAGTAGCCGCACCATGGATAAAGTGAAGATAGCAAAGGTCACACTGGAAAACTACTATGCTAATCTCGCAACCCAATGCCAGGATAGACAGAACCGGTAAGTCTAAAATGCACGGATGTCTACGGAACAAATCACGTTCTTATAAATAGTACACTCGTTTATGTCTATTTTACAACAACCGCTCTAGTGCTATTGGGAGTTTTGTTTTCGGCACGTCCGAGCACACCGTATGCCAGTTTATTTTAATCCGAACGGGACCAAATTTCTGCAATCAGTTTAAACTATCATGAGTCGAATGGTCGTAGGGGTTAGCCCAATTATGACGCCCAGAAGTTGATTTAGCCAGGCCAGGTATATGGCAAAATTTTAAGGGCGGGAGGGCGAGGCGAGAGCAAGAAAGTAGATGCTGCGGAGATATAATCTGTTTTAATTCGGATCATGCGCAGGTGTGTAAACGCCTCTGTGCATTTATCTCAAAAACAAATGCTTTTGGTTTTTTCTGAAGCCATCGTAGTCTGCAAAAACATAATTGTTCTTCGAAATTAACATTAAAACGAAACTCCAATGAGCGCCCTTATTGTGGCATTTCCACAAGTTTTTATACTCACTAACTTTTTCAAATATTTTAACGCGTGATCTTGGTTTCCGTGAATTTAGGTACACATTGCTGGAGTGTATCATGGAGAATGAGGGTTTGACTGAAGAGCAGGTATGTTTCTCGTTTTCATTGTGTAATTTACTTCCGTTCGCATATTTTTTTACTGTTGTACACAAATCTGTAAATACGTAAGGTACTATCATTATTCGCAAACGACTCAGTCGACGAAAAGAGCATACTGGATATCCACAGAGCTTATAGAAATCATAATACACTGCAAGTACTCTGAAAGTCCAAGGATTGCACCGACGCTTGTGATATACTTTGGAGGATACTACACTTATAATGTATCGTTGTTTTCTTCTCTTACACACGGATCATCCGAAATAATACCACTTCCTGAATCTTCCTCATAGCTCTCTCTCTCTCTCTCTGGACTCTACTTCTTTGGTCTGTGTCAGTTATTGGAATTTTTTTAAATTAGTCGATGGGTTATCCTCCCTATGCTCAAAGGGCAACTTGCCTTCTTTCTTTTCCTATAGAACGAGCGGATGGATAATCATTGTAAACTGAATACACACAGCCAAATTATTGCTATTTCTGACACCATTATGCGTCCCTTTCCTCAATAAGTGCGTCACCCGCTAGAATACCCTCTTTTTCTCCTACGGCCCGATTTTTGGACATACGCCATCAGTTTTCAGTTCGTTATTTGTGAGTCTGGGAAGTGTACTCTATCGAGTTCTTGTTTTTTCTCTTCTGTTATTCAACACGTGGTAATGAGCAGAGTTCTGTGCAGTCCAGTCCTTCTGTATTTATCGTTCAATATTCATTACTGTCAGTATCCAGTGATTGTGATTTCATTTGGCATCAGTCACCATGGTATGAAAATAGAGTGGACATCCAAACAAAACGCACTTCCGGGTTTACAACTTAACTCGCCTTTTCGAATAGTAAAAAAATTATTAGGGACTATGGTGTTCCCCGTTTTCTAGAATAGTTTATCAGAGATGCTGGTGTTCTTCAAGGATAGAAAAAAATTTCAGTTTTCTGCCTGATGAATCAGCATATGCACTTATTCATATCAGGTTAGAACGAACGTTTGTTCCAATTTTCGACCTGTAGGGGTTAAACAGGACGTATTAAAGCATTGCATGTTTATATTGTTCAGCGATATTCAAACTTGATCCTATGTTCTAGCCAACTGAACAGCACATTAACCGTGTTTTGCTGTATGACCTGCATTAATGGGTTGGTACGAATGCGGCAAAAAATCACGTCAGAACGCCCATGGTCTCTATTCTTGAAGTAAAATAACGCGTAGGTGTTTTTCTCACCTTAAGAAAGTAGGTTTAGCCAGCCGAACGAGCCAAGGCAAGCGCGACCAAACGAATCACTACAAAGAAAATTGATAAGATTGTTAAAGCTAATCTTTTCATTGCATATAGGGAAATCGGTGAACATTTCGATGTTAGCCGATGAATTGTCGTGCGTGAACTGGGAAGGATAGGAAAGGTGTCAGTGCCTGTGAAGTTGCTTCTTGCCTGAAGGGAATCGTCAAAGATGTGTCACCTGTTGTTGGCTTTTGCTTACACAACAGCTTTAAGGTCTATCTTAAAATTGGGCTGTTACTAGTGACTAGAAATAGAACCCCTACCACCACCCGTTCCCACACACTACCCTCCTGGTATTTTTTCAACAGATTGTCACTTGTTTAAAAGTTTGCGAAATTATTCGGATGAACTAAGCCTGACATCAAAAGAAGAGGTTAAACATGATCTGGCCTCTTATTTCTCAACAAAGCTTTAGGAATTTTAAAGACGCGATATTACTCAACTCGCCAAAAGAAGAAGAATGTTACCGAAATCACTGGAAGTTATGTGAATGCTTAAATATGTCTGTCAGCATTAATTCCTGCTTGTCTATGTATGTGATAAAAACGGAACTTTAAATTATTCTAATCTAATATATTGGCGAGACAGCTGTTTTCGGAACTTTGAAGCCTTTTTCTGCGATATGAATTTAAAGCAAGCATATAATGTAGGATTTATTGGAACCGACAAATTGCGCGACGCCTCATCAGTTACATCCTATCGCGTAGCATGCTTAGTCTAGGACCATCTAATGTCTAATGTTCGTGAATTTGATAACACTAGACCTTTTCCATATTTCCCGCTTGAGTGAACATAACTTCATGCATCTTATCGCCTTATTTTCTGCAGAAAAACCAGAAACGATGCCAACATGCGCTAAAGGAGAGCGAATTTCTTCGCCTGAAGCGGGCCCGATTAACTGTAGACGATTTCACTCCCCTAAAAATTATTGGCAAAGGAGCATTTGGTGAGGTGAGTACAGTGAGCATGTGCCCTTCACTTCTATGGCTATTACTTGACAATCATTTTGGACGCTTCAGGTAGCGTCTTTTGTGGAACAGAATTATCATCACTGCACCTTCATTTTGCCAGTTGATATCATACGTTCTGCTGCTTTTCATCGTATTTCTGAGGGAATGATCATCTTACTACATTTTTCCTAACTCATCTTCCAGTGTTTTGTCCTTATTTGATCCAAAAATTCATGAAAAACCGAATTCACTCTCCTTTTACCCCGTACCTTAGTACTCCATATTATATTTATCGACTGCCTCCGTTACAGTAGTCTATATGATCGAAACTGTTGTCGGTTGGAACAGGGATGGCTGAGGGGACCATATCGAGCTTATTTGCCACCGGCACAATTATCATCCATACAGTCAGCCCTATCCAAACCACAGACCACGAAGACCGATGTCTGAACCTATCATTTTTGATCATTGTGAGTCTGTCTTAATCGTTCCACCGTTAAGCAACTAGCCGCCGTCCTTTTGGCTACGATCGGGAACACCCGAAGCACATTTGACCTGCCTTCTGTTGGAAAGACGAGATACGGGCTACTTCGGATACAGTGGAGTTCCTGTCTAGATCCTTCACTCCGACGAATGTTTGATTTGAAGGCCTAATCGTCAGGTAATCTCCTCATAAGCCGCAGGCGTTTCGGCTGAGATAATTAGTGAAGGTAAAAAAAAACTGAAAATGGCCATGCCGTTATTGCCTGTCTCAGTCGATAGTACTTCTCGATTAGAAATCCATCGTTATGCTGCCGTCTGTAAGGACTGGAACTGCGAAGCAAAATAGAATCATCCGTGTTCCACCCTGCACTCCGGATTGATCGATAAGCTGCTTGCAATTGTGACTAAGCTATGTTTGTCT